ATATAAAAGTTAATATATAAGTTGGACGATCCATGTCCAAATGGTTTTGTCTTTTGTCCAGATGGGCCAAAACCATATTTGTCCGCAGACCATATGGACTGGACCATATATAGCCCATAAAAAAAATTGTCCACTCGGGCAGGCCCAATTGGCCGCGGGCAAGCCCAATTGACAGCTCTATCTATGTCTCACCACGGTTATACTCCTTGTCTGAATCTCTGATGGACGGCTTGAAGAATTTATTCACGTGATAATATTTTTTCTATTTTTCAAGTTTTCTTCTCTTTAGAAACAAATTTCGGTTTGATTTTTTTTATTAGCTTTAAGGAAAAACAATTTAGTTACTGGCATCAGAGACTTTAGGCTATATATTGTTTGAGTTTCAAGAAATCTCATGGTTTGGAGAAAATATAGAGATCCAGAGATTGTATATGACACAAATTGTCAAGAAATTTGGAAGAATCTGTGTGTTCTGTGGAAATAGCTAAGGCAAGAAAAGTAGCTACCAAGATGTTGTTGTGGAACTAGTCATTACAGTTTTTTTTTATACTCTGTTATTTGAGTTTTTATACTTTACATTGGTTACGTTACCGTGAGTTTTTTATCCCTCTTTCATCTTGGACAAATTACTATGGACCTTGTAACATCGATATGAAATTTGAAAATTTAAGTGATTGAAGACAAATTTTAATTTTAAGTGATTCAAGACAATTTTTCAAGTAACATAATCCATTCTTATTTGAACAGTTTTGTCTAAAAAATAGACAAGAAATAGTATGGATTCTAAATCTATTTTCGAAGTGTATAAATGCAAGGATAACACATATGTAACACGTAAATCAATCCATCAATAAGAGTTCTGATGGATAGGTTCAGATGGACATGAAAGTATGGACATGGTTGAAAAGATGAAACAATGAAAGAATGAAACAATAAGAAGAAAATTAACTTATCAATTGTGGAAGCTGAATTCCGCATTGAGTATTTGTATGTGAATTTGGATAAGAAACTTTGGTCCTAAGAAATGTCTATAAGCTCAACGATTAAAAAAAGAGTAGAGTGGAGTTGGATTTATATTGATATGAATAGAATATACAATATGGTCTCGTCTGAGACGTATTACAAGCTGAAAATATATTGTTAAGCTCTCGCATGTGTGTAAAAATTGTCGAAATCTGCTCGGATTTCCTCCATCTATAGTTCAGTTCATCTCCTCGATCCAACTCCACATTCTTAGGGCGGTTCCGCGTATTTCAGGCACGATCTTGGTATATTCCCCGCGAATCTTGCTCCTACGACTGAGATAATCGCTCTGTTGACTCGCTCCTAGCTCGTTCTTAGCTCGTTGTCCACGCGCCTGTTGATTCGGCCCTTTCGGGGATGACATGGACCTTAAGAGGAATAATGTCTAATTCTTCGGGTTTGGGCCGCAGGCCCATCGATTCTGGTCAACGTTTCGTGAACAATAAGCTTTGCCTTGGGCTCAGCCTATTAAGTATCTAAGTAATAACACTTGATGGACGACGATTCAATGTTATCTTCTCGAATATCTAACGCATATATCGCAAGCAAATATACGCTATGATCTCGTTAAACAACCCGTATATTGGATCAACGGACGAGATCCGATTGATAAGAGTAAAAAGGGGGAGGTGAAAGAACTCCACCGTTTCAACGGCTAGATCCGCTAGGCCGTATAAAACCACCCCTCACACATTTCCCCAACCTCATCTGCTCAGACTCGAATTTCAAGGTAAGAAAAGAAACTCTCTTCCCCTTTACTCTTGCAT